CTAAGAACTAGCACCAATCAGCGACGAACCCATTACTGAAAACCGCATTAAAATCAGACTATGTTTTGAGATAAATGGAAACATTGGTTCGCACAAACAAATATCTCTCACCCTAAACGCATATACCTTCTCCGTGCCGGCTGCTTATTACATGATAAATTGTTTGTATCGAAAAACTTCTGCAAAAAGAGGTTTTTCGGCAGCTAATCAGCTATTTGTACCAATTATGAAGAGCAGTATCATAAATATTTGAGAATGTCCAAGCCGGTACTCAAATTTCAAACTCAATCATGAAGTCTATAGTTATAGAGGTTAAAATGATTGAGTGGAATGCGAATGCCCAATACAAAGATCGAATGTGTACATTTTTTAAACTCATACTTTAATCTAGCAAAGACACACCGAACTAACGGGTAACTACTAATTCCACATTGCATCTCTCATCTCCGCAGCACCCATCCACTACCACACTCGGATCATTATTATCTGATACCATTGCTACGATTTTCGAGGGTGTATTATCACTAGTTATTAACACTAATTACTTGAAAACCGTGTTCACTAGACTTATTATCAAGGGATGAGTGAAACACCGTCATTGGTGTGACTTTTTTTTTACGTGTGGAAACCCCCTCGGGGTTTAAGGCGGGGTGGTGTTTCGGAATCGGACCAACTAAAACCAAACGGTATGCCACTCTGCGCCTGTAATAGGAGGGATCCGGGAACTGCTGTTATTAAGACATCCGGACGTTATTAGCTTAAGCAATGTTTTACATGATAACGTCTTGAACAAAGTCAATTTATTATTTTCCAGAATATTAGATTCCTTGATGAATTAGAATGGAAAGCAATTTAATTTTAATGACCTTTATAGCTCGTGTCAGAATATAACAATATTTCATCTTCATCACGACGTAAATAAGATTGTATAGCTCAGACGAAAATACCAAAATACCCGTCGACAGTGTAATACAATTTTATTTACATACTTGCGCGGTGGCTTGAATATTAAAAGCCTGTAGTACTTACGCAAATTTCTGATGTTGTTCAGTTTGAAACGCGCCTGTTATTAACATAACGCTATTTGATGAGCTTTTTTTAACATAATAACGTACTTTGACCCAAACCCAAAACTTCTTGAGTATAAGTCAAAAGCTATCTTTTTCTCTGAATCGCTACACTACGGGTCTATTCTTTGTCTAACTTTTATATGGCGAATAATTGGTATTAAGGGGCCAACCAAAATAGAGTCGTTCTCTTTTGAATGCGGTCCAGACTGATAAGATGGCGCCGGGGTACCCTTGCCCAGTAATGAGAATAGCATTCCATATGCAGCCGAATCTGTGTCTCGAACATGGTCAAGATATAACTAATTTTAGTCAGTGGATTCGCTACATACTTTTTTCTGGACAAAAAGTACCCTTATCCTTTTTGTACTCCAGGAATCCTGTACGAAAAATTTAATAATGATCAATCAATGACAAATTTTTGTTATTGGACAACTCCTTTGATTATCTTTATTATTTATTTTGTATTTAAAAAAACATCAAACGTCATCTACGCCGCTATAATACATAAAATATTTAAGAAATCTCAACTCTCGGTCGAATTCTAATTAAACTTTTAAATACGTTCGATACTTCCAAATATTATAATACCAGTCCTCCATTATTCATTTCAACGCTGTTTAAAATCTGCATTGTAAATCAAATAACTCGATAAATAACTATGGCGTCTTGCAAGTCTTGATGACTTCTTAAAAAACTTCGACGCTGGCTCTACAGAATTAATATATAAACCTATACCGACTACCACGCATAAGCTTTTAACGTGCATTTTTGCACCGAGCTTTGTAATATATCCGTATGATCAATAAAAATATTATGTAGTTTTTTCTAAAAACAAACTAAGAATAACGTGTACCTACATTGAGTTTACAGATCACCCATCAACAATGTATAAACATATACACTCGTATTATTCTACATACAGATATTCTAATAAACTATAAGAGTATATGCTCTTCATGCATGTAAATATTTTGAATAAGCGGGAAGCGAACTGACGACTTCATAAATTCTAGGACTATTGTTTATGATCTACATAGAAATTTATAAAAATTATTGAAAGATCAGTTAATATAATAGTAGTACAGTAGTAATAGTAACGTAAGATTTATCTGTAATAAACACATAGTAGTGATCAATTTATTTAAAGCACACGAACAGAGATACAACACAGACAGGATTAGTGTACTCTCAACAATATTAGCTCAGACACCTTTGGTCAGACAGTTTTATAGCTCAACTAAAAAGAAGATTGAAGACATTGCCAACAATCTAAAGCTTTCGATTCTATTCTATTAAAAAACAAACAGCTATAGCGGTGTAATAATGTTTTCAAGAAAACCAATATACTTAAATAGTCCCTAGCGCCCGATAAACAGAAATAAGGTACGAAGAAGTGAAGAGTGATCTTATACATAGAAATGTAATATCACCACATGATAGATAAACAAACTCCATATGTAACAGATCTTTCGTGTTCGTTTTCAAAAGGTTCCCCAATTTTACTAAATTAGAAAACAATTATCGCTATAGTGTCTCACTATAGAACACCAATGTTCATTAATCACTCTATTATCCTTCCTTAATAGCATATTTAATTCTTTTATTATTTAATTAGAATGTTTATTCAAACTCAGAGGATACAGGTTAAATTAATTTATTTTATGTACACCACAACTTTTTTGAATAAAGTATTTTTCCAAAAATAGACAGAGGCGATCTCTCATTACTTCCACCCACGTTACGTTGGTGTACTATTCCTATCTATACATTATTGCGTGGGTTTTAGTGGTCGTCAAGAGCCTCTTGTATTTTATTTCTAAACGCGGTCCTATAAGAAGGATAAAATACAAGTGAGTTTTTTATTTCGAAACAACGATCTGAAATTTATTATATCTATATATATATATAAGAGATTTCCACGTATTTAGTCACCTCTTTTCACCGAGTAGAGGTCAGCTAAGAACTGATTTTAAGCAATTAAAAAAAAAAAAAAAAAATTAAAATAGCAAAACAACGTTTGCAGGGTCAGCTAGTATAATATAAAATACTAAAACAAAATCAAGAATGGAAATTAAAAGAAAATATGTATGATATAAGAAAACCAGGTGTCAGTAAACATAAGGAACGAGTAGTGACTTCATTTTATACTATGTAAAGATATCGATCAGTTCTAACAAGAAGTATGCACATTGGAAAAAGTAGTCAAGACTAAATCAATAATGTAAGTACCACCGGTAGATTTATTTATGCGGCGCAATACAATTATAAGCAGGCAGCGTCAACATGGTATAGCAGGCCCAAACCTCCTTTCTAAGGAGAGGCCTATGTCCAGCAATGGACAATTAGAGGCTGTTGATGATGATGATGAAGAATGACCGCACCATTCCTTGAAACACCAGAAACATGCATTCATGATTACAAGAGATTTCTATACGTTTATTTAATTTGTTTATTTCTCTGGTCACTGTCTAAAATTGAAGCAGTCACTTTAATTTAATGTAATTAAAAAAATGAATGGACTAATCCATTCATTTTTTATCTTCACGTTATAATTTCTAATTCAATTTCTTTTAACAAAGTAACACTTATAAAAAAATTATGATATTAAAAGGTGTGAAACGAATTTATGAGTCACAAAGGTTGTTGTAATTACATCCTCTATGCTCAAGGGACAACCTGTTTTGTGAGGCTGACGCATGGCGCATTTAAAATGGCTGCCTCAAAATATAATTTACATTATCCGGTTAGTCAGTGCTGGAGTTTCGCGACGTTGTCTGTACCATTAAAGCTGAGTGACTTTTTACTTCCTTCTGCTTTGTGTAAATATTTACGGTATTTCTTTACAGATTTTTAACAGACTTCAAAAACAGGAGAAGGTTCTAAATTCTACTGTACTTTTTTATATGTTTATAATCTCAGATCTCCGTCATTTATAAAATGGTTTTATTTTTGGATTTTGATGGATAATTAAAAAATATATATATTGGAGACAGTTAATCAAAGAGCAGAACCATAAAGATTATATGATGAATTGCTTCCTAATTTAATATTACATGTGTATTATTTTAACACACAGTAAATAATAAAAAATAATAAAATATGGCTTTCAGTCAACATGTTTCTATAATCAATTAAGCTTTTATCTCACTTAATTTTATTTAGTAAGAGTTGCATAAAATATCTTTTAAACCAGCTCAGTATCTATAAAATTTACCATCCAGTTTCTGCACTTATTGGGTCTTTTAAAACTTTTTCGTAAAATAATAGTTTACCACTAAACTTTTCCGCAATTTTAAACTGGATCTTGTAGTTATCTAAGTTCAAGAACGTTGTAAAGCTGTTTAAAATAATTCTGTTGCAGAAAAATATACGTAGCTGAAACTTAACTTATTGAATTTGTGACATGAAATACAAACACTCTCTCACTCGCATACACTTAGAGTTATTACACTCAGAGATGTTATTAGGCTTCAAGTAATAGTACTTCATCGTGAGAGCTGTGTACTGCACTTAAGATGTCATTTAATATCACTTACTTTACTTTCGTTTATTTCGAATACTCCCTGTTCAGTATTTATACCTAACATACATATGTATTTGTAGGGATGACTTAAGAATATAAGCATTTTTAGAAAAGATGTAGTGAGTAATTTTAGGGGTGTGTAGATCTCAAAAGTTATTGACTTGACAAAACATTCGTGATTTGATAAAATACCAATAGAACTTTCATTACACTATATCTTTTGTTGCCAAATGTGTAAATATGTGATATGAAATATTTAAAAAATGTATAAAACAAATATGTATGTAAATTTATTATAAGTCTCGACACCGCAAACGCGGTGATTGGAGTATATAAGTTGTAATGGAGCGCCTGGTACCAGTTTTTAGTAAGCGTTCGTAGTAATTGTGACTTAGTTAGATACTTACCGACTTAGCCTCTGAACCATCATGACCTGCAACAAAAAAGCATACATTTTACTCAATTTGAAACAGTAACAAAAAGTGTCGCTTTTAAACATAAGTATTTTGGTAGTGCCGTTTTTTCGCTCGCTAGAATTTAAGAAAGAGGGAGATAGAGTTAGCAGAGTAAAAGTGACACTACTGAAGTTGTTAAGAGTTTTTTGCTACCTCTTAACCATTAACTGAGATGAGCTTGTCAATTATAAATAAATAAAAACATATTATTGGTTAAGGCTGTCAATTAATTCCTCAACTACTGAAACTTGGATTAATGGCGACAAGCTTGAGCAGAACAAACAGATGGTCGCTTTATATCTGTCATGTATACAAATGAAAGACAAATGACGATAGATATACAATTTTATGGTAAACTTGCTTGCACAGTCTTACGAAATTATAATCATTGTTACTACGTAACTCTTTAGTTAGAAACGTCAACGTTGTACGTGAGCTTACAAACTAGGCAAGAAACCCCATGCACCATAGGGCTGTTGCATGTTTTTGAAACTTGGTTTGTGCCATGAGATTCATTTATTCAATTTTTTTGGTGAAGTGGTCGAAGCAGAAGTTAATAACACTCAAAATTCATATAAATCGCAGTTATTGGATTTTCATTCAAGTACGAGCGACCAATCCTTATCATTTTTCTTAAAACTATGCTAGTGATTGATTTAAGCAATTCAACTTTTAACTGAATGTCTCGACAGTTTTACCTAGACTGTGTTATATTTTTTATTGTGTCCCAAATAGTTTAAAGTTACTGTCGCACGTACGATCAAAGGCTCTCGCTCTAAATGCGCAGTGAAGCGAGCCGGTTCGAGCATCCCAGCGGAAAGAGTACACGCATCAAAACAAGGGCAAATTTATGGCAAAGTGACGTATAATGACAGACAGAGGTTAGTTTGAGTAGGGCCATTTAAAACACATATTTTAGTAATAAAATATTGTTTTGTGACGCACTTGGCCCATTTTTACAAATGTCAGATGTGAGACATCATTTGCCGGTACTTACTACTACAACGGTGAGTCGTTTCATTTAAGGATTCTGAATTTTTTAAGTATGTAAATTTTGTCAATAAAATACTAATAAGTTGCCTATTGGTATTAAACTGATTTTAATCTCTTAACATAACTTGACCGTAAACTTTTTCTTTAAATCCGTTATATATACCACCACCATGATTGGTTTTTGATTTTCAATAAGAACATGGTGTAACTATTTAAGTTTCCCCTTAGTTCTTTCCTTCCTACTACTCGCATTTTACTAAAATGCGAGTAGTAAAGTGTATTTATCCTACATGATTAAACCTATTTTAAATATCTTTGTTTTTCATAAGTATATTTACACGATTTAAACAAAAATGTGTTCTCAATTCAACTGTATGTTCTTTTGAGTATATTTTGGTGTGAAAATTGTATTTTTAAAAGGTAGACAAAAAAAAATCTGTTTACGTAAGTTATACTCTTACCTAGGTATAACTTCTCGTTTGGTCAAGATCAAAATTTGAAGAAAGAAATCCTAAGAATTGAATTTAAGAAAAAAGAAATAGAGTTTATTACAATTCATGATGATGTAGGCTCATCGCAGTCAGCGATACTTCTTTTACGACTTCTTTAAAATAAGTAACTGACTTATTTTCATACAATCACAAAAATATGACTAACTTGGAAAAGTCTATCGATTTATAATCGATCATTTTTTGTTCTATTGGTATTTGGGTCGCGTCGTATATCCTAACAAGTAGTTCCATATTATAATGATTAAATTACAAAAACAATTCCCCAATCTTATAACATAATCAGTATCATTTACCCTATTTTGACTGCGCCGAGGAAACTGGCAAAAATAAGTAACATTACAAAAAATGAATGTTTCGCTTCTAAAGATTATTTTGCTCTCTAAAATTTAATTCAATGTAAACTTTTTATTTTTAAATAATAATATTTGTGTAAAACAATAAAACGTCCGCATAGTATTAAGAAACAGAATAAAAATATCGTGATTTTTGTACACAAAGTTAATATTAGTTTTAACGTCAAAATCCTCAAAGGAACTTTATGAGGTCTCAGAGGCAAAATAACACGAGATTTTGTAAATCCTATTCTAAACACGTTTTACCTCACATTTCTATAAAATATATTTCATAATAACGTCTTCTATTGAAGTCAGTATTATTTTTGCGCCAATCAATTCTAGATAATGTTCCTTGCTATGTTGCTCGAGAATCTATTTACAGACGTCAAAACGGAGGCTGTATATTAGATATATACCTTATAAAGTCCTCAGGGATTTTATTAACTCACGCAGCGTTATTGCTGAAGTGTTTTAGTTGTACTACGAGTTTGAATGGCCCACTCTGTTATCGACATCTGTTCTACATTATTTATATAATACTTAGCTTATATATGTTAATATAAGATATCGTGTATCATATAAATATTATAGTGATAAATCTCTTGTAGATTATATGAGGATATTGTTTTATTTATACCTACGAGTCTAGAGGTATTTTTTAGATTTTACTATTGTCATCTAGACATGTACATTGTGATTGTACAAACACAACAACCTAATAAATATACCTAAAATCATCATACAATTTTATACCCGTATCTGTTTGAATATTTCACAAGATTATTTTAGAGTACTCTCTCTACTACTCTCCTTCAAACGAAGACAATCTTTCTTTCTTTCTTTCTAAAAAAGACAACTCCCGCATTAGGAATAAATCCTGTGTCGCGGGGGACTTTACAAACATACATGAAACGGACACAAAGAACACCCAGACTCAGAACAACAATTTGTGGATTACACAAAGTGTCGTCCCATGTGGGGTTTGAACCCACAACACTCGACGTAGTAGGAAGCGGCGTGGCGACCGCTTAAACCTTAACCCACTACGGTATTGCAGAGTTTACTTAGGTCATCAAATATTCTGACCTTATGAAAAGATACCAACACCTAGGTATTTTTTTAAAGATGAGATATATATCTCTCTTCCAAGAGCCGCAGTCCAAGGCCGTTAGCGGTCAGGGCTAAGAATTAACTTCGAATAGTGCTAGTCACTCTTTGTCACTTAGTTTCCATGAAGAGCAGTGTTCAGAATAAAAACTTCTCAATATATATTGTATTACTATAATTGCCTAGTTTTTTTATCCTCATTTGTTGTTAATGCTAAAGCCTGCAGCCTACTATTTGTAGACATAGCTGATCTCATGACATATTTTCTTGTAAATACCTACTATACAAATATGTAATTGAGATGGCAACATATCTTTTAGAAACCGAGAATTGTAGCGACATAAAGTTTGTAATTGTTCAATGTCTTTTTCTTAACGAAATACAAATATAATACTAATGAAAATTCAGTATTAGTATTTTTTTTTAAATCTCGCGTCCTAGCCACTCTACATGCCCCAGACTATAATAAAAATTATTTACTCGCTACAGACTCGGTTGTAAATCAAAGCAATAGAAGAATGTTTTCTCTTATATTATCTGTGGGATGCAATGCGGAGCGGACCATCAGTTTTTAAAACCCTGTGATTCATGACAGCGGCTTCAGCAGTTGGGCAGATGGATTTAAAAATAGCAAATGCGAGTAATAATCCCCACAAGAGATTTCCTTTAAAACCTATTTCGTAGCGTTCCATTGATTCACCGTACTAGTGCCGTGTCCATAGCGTGATAGATGGGGGCAACACATGTAACTTCGACAGCGCCTGGGAATTGCGACCCAGGTAAAGGTTTAAGGAGTACTCCTTGCGATGCGTCAGCGCTCACCCAAACTGTCTGCCGTGTTATCCCCTCTACCTAACCATATTTGATACGAGCCTAGTAATGCCGCTTTGGATATTCATTAAAGAAAAGAGCTCTTGACAATCCAAGGTCTTTAAGCATTAGTTTATAGAAGGATTTAGCTGGTATACCCTTCGCTCCCACTTTCACGGCATACAACGCAACGACATAATCATTTTTAGATATTTCATTGATTAAGTCAAAGTACTTGTTTCTTTTTATAGCGTGATCTTTAAGGATATTTATTTCCCACTGCACGGTGAGTATAAGTAGTTTTAGTTGTATGTATTATGCCCTTAATATCTGTCAATCCATCCATCTTACGCAAATCGTCACTCCACCTGGCCTGTGTTGTGTGTAAATTCAGTATATTCGGAGAAATCTTAATATTCACTAAAAGGATTTCAAAGCAGTTTTACTACTTTCCTTCTTCGGCAGGAAATAAATATTTATATCTTGTAGAAGCGAGTCTACCTAATTTCTGTAATTGGAATGTATCGTTGTCGATATAAACAGATACCATTTTAAGACGGCAAGACTTGACCCATAGCAAATATTATTTTCTATAATGTTTTCACAATGTAATCCTTAAGATAATTCCTTAAGAGTTTCATTACCAATCTTTCTTTTTAAATAGTTTGTACTGCTACTCAGTTATTAGTTAGCTATACAATATTGAGAATAATGCATGATAAGTTAGGAGGTTTACCTTCTTCGTTATTGTAATGATATTTGTAAAAAGGTCGCTATCGCTACCGCTATCACTAATTACGAGGAGAAAAGAACCACTGGCGTCCGTAGTTTTGCTTTTTTTGGCAAAAAGGTGAAAAAATGATACATGTTACTAAACTCGTTAATCGCGCAGTACAAGAAGTGTTTCTTATTGTTTTAAACTACATATATAAAATGTATACTGTTACTGCATACAGTAATTTATGTATTGGCATATTTAGGTCAACTATACACTTGGTACATACGGGCACCTCGTATATACTCGGAACAAGGATAATAGCATAATGTATTTGCTCTCAGCCGTATACATACATATAGTATAGTATAAACATATAATATCACGTCCTCCAATATCCATTTCACTCGATCACCTTGTAAATGTATGCCAACTGTTGATTAAGTTTATTTTCTGAACCAATTTGGTACCTTTGAAGAATAACTGTAGGTAAGAATTTTATATAA